AGCTGCTTTTACTAGCAACTATGCTGCTCACAGATGAATCAGCTTCCTCTGTATCTCAAAAGTGTCCAAACTTTAGTAACATTTAAATCATAAATGAAAACTGTGAATGAATGTTACTAATACTGCACCTTCTGCACTGTTACTGCACACCCTTTAACTTTGCCCTTTTGTTAGATCTCTTACATCTAGTTTTGTGTATTTTAAATGAGAGTTTATAATCTGCTGTGTTATGCTGCCATGTTGACGTTAACTCATTCACTGCAATTGACGACTAAATCGTCAATTCTAGATCCAACCGCTCACTGCCAATGACGACTAATGAAACATTTTTTTTACTGTTTGAACATCGGAACGAGCCCCCGCGCTGAGAGAACAAACATCTCAGCCCTGAAGCTGATCTTCATCCGCATACGTCACACTTCACGTGATCAGGAAGCAGAACATCCATGTGTTAGGAGATTGTTTGGGGCCGTTCCTGTAAAAAAAGGTGAGGCGCGAACCGGAAAAGCGTCTGCCGATCACAATTCGACAACGGATTATGAAAGAACAGATACCGCTCGAAACACGCGGATTTTTCCTGATGTAAGAGTTGAGTCTCTGCTTTGTTTTGGTTGTTTTGACGTCGACATCATCCTAGCGCGCAACGCTCTGTGACTCTTAAAAAACTGTAAAAATGGTGAGAAACGCTGGCAGCGAAGTTCGTTAGTGATCAGGAAACGGCTGGCAGTGAGTGAGTTAATGTTTCCTGTTCTTTATCCTGGAAAGAACATTGACTTTGTATGAAATGTGCTGCACAAATAAAGCTGCCTTGATTTAATCCTTTAGATGTATTTTTTAATTGGTTTATTTCAAAAACTGATTAGTGGGTTTTATTCATCTTAAATGTTCATGTTTTACTTTGTAAACAAATGAAATAATTGATTAAACTAGTTGCATTCGGGTCAACTGCATGTTTTAGGTGTGTGGCTGACAGACGTTGATACACATGTTACACACTTGTCTTCTACTTTCAGACAGGTTGTCCTGAATCCAGAGACGTTCATGTATGACCATCTCTCGCCTGTTAAGGTGTTCAGGGAGCATTAAACTATACTGACACGGATCTCATTTTGGATGTTCCCCCTCAGGATGCAGCTCACTGAAAAACAAAAATAATCTATCATCACTGAGCATCAGCAAGTCTGTCTAAAATAAGAATCTCGCAGATGTTCAACTTAAGTGCTTCAATAAGTTGGAACTTTAATAACGTATCAAGATTTCCACACATTTCTGTTCATGTTTTTAACCTGACAAATATGAGAAGAAACCTTCTTTAAACACTTTTCTATATAACCAAACCTACAAACCCACAAACTGGCTTAAATCTTTTTTCAGTTCCCCATGGTTTTAATTCTCTCTCCACCCTTTAACTGGTCAGAGGACGGCTGGAGGAAACATCCTCAAAGATGACCATTTCTGTAGACACACTAATCCTTTTTTCACGGCTCATCCCTTCTCAGAGGTCACCCCTAACCCCCGAAAGGTAAATGGATGAAAAATAAAATTTGATGTATACAGCAAAGAGGATTCTGTTGGGATGTCTGCAAAGATAGGGACTTGCACAACATTCAATGTAAAGTCCCATTATAGGTGCAGTATGTAAGAACATAGTGCAATTTTTACTGGGAGAAAATCCCCAAAGTCTGTTTCAGTCATGTAGGAAGGAAGGTTTTACTGAAACATGTTTCATGTCCAGCTGGCTGCTGGACTGTCCATTTTCTCTTTTAAAAACAAAGGAATGAGAAACGTAACTGCTGTTTACCATCAGTGAGTGTGTGTGTGTGGGGGGGGATGTCTCCTGCAAGCTAATACTGCAACGCCAACATTGACGGAGAGGCATTAAGCTTCACAGTTGTTTAAAGTGGTTGCAGTATGCACGTTGTACCACAGGATGTCCTTTTACTTCACACCCTGGTGAGAGGACATCCAGCATCTGACCCAACAGGTGGCTGTTTGATGGTTTAACCCCCCCCCCCCCCCCCCCCAATCTAACTCCTCAAAGCAGAGTGTGACGCAGGAAGACATTGTGTCCCAGTCTTCAGTCTTTGGGATGACCCGACCGTGGATGCAGCAGAGGTTTGAGGAACGTAGTACTCGTGTTAAAGAGGTGACGGTCTTATGTGATGAGAAAGAGATTATTTTACCTCTCATCACTGCCTTTCCTGCCTCCCAGAGAACAGATGCTGATGTTCCAGGCAGGTCATTATGTTCTAAATATAAAGCCCACTCCTTTTTTAAAAAATTCTATAAAACCTTCGTCTTTGAGCAGTGATGTATTAAACCTCCAGTTTTTGCTTGGTGGGATTGTCTTCTTGTTTACCAGAGTTAAAGAAACCGGAGCATGGTCGCTGACAACTATGGGGTGTATCTCAGTGTCTGAAATGTCAGCCACCAATGAGCTGCTGACTAGAAAATAATCCAAACGTGAATGAGAGTGATGGACGTGTGAGAAAAAAGTATACTCTTGTAACGTGAGGAAGTATGGGTTTCTGTGCCAAAAGTCGTATTTGCCCGGCTGGGTCAAAGCTGGGTCACGCAGCACCTTCACCCACAGATTAAGACCTAAGCCGCCAGCAAGTCTGAAGGACTCCACAACATCGAGAACACCTGCATCTCCAGAAGAAGGACTTCACTCAGTCTAGTCATAATAAAACAGAGTCTTAAACTTTCTTTGTTTATTAATGTTAAATAATCATTTGATCACTTTACTCATTATAAATGTATTTTAATCAATGAATGATTATTAGGCTTTGGGTAATCATAATGAACTATAATGAATCAGTATACTTAATTAAATAATGTTTTTGAAGATGTTTAGCGATGACCTTCACACCCGCTCACACAGGTATTTTTCCACAGTAACTCAAAACACATTTGCTCTGACACACAAGTTTGCTTTGGTAAGAGAAGTGGTTTTGGTAATGAGTCGGTTCATGAGTAAGATCGGATGAGAGCAGGTGTGCGGAACGAACGCCACGGGGAAAGGAGCCCGGCAGGCTCCTTTTCTCCCTCCATGCTATTTCTGTCAAGCCAGACAGAATAGCTGAAATGCAACCAGCTTACGCAGACTCGTCCCAGAGTCTTTTGGTTTCTGAGTTAACTTAAACTTGAGAAAGCGCGTCTGCCGAAACGCTTCAACAATGTGTACCAAGGGCAACTCTGGACTGGACCGTCAGCACACCTTCGTCTTCTCTGTCAGCCAAGGTGTCATCTGGAGAACACATCCTCCTGTGAGGTCCGGATCTAAAGAGGGTCCTAAGTCGGTGAGGCAGAACACGAGATAGCGTTCTGATGCTGTTTTCTAATGAGAACTAAAGTTTAATTGCAAAACATAATTTTTCCACTCAGACACCTTTTCTCTCCCTGAAGCAATCTCAGACACATGCACGTATTCATAATTCCATCATCCTCAAATCTTAGCACATCCAACACAAGGTCTATTTGAGCAAGCTTAAAATATCAACTGTTTAAGATTGTCCAACAAGGTTGCCAATGTTGATTGTGTTGCCTATGATTGTCATTTCAAATCGTTAGTTTAAATTTAAGAATTAAAACTCTTAAAATTTAAACTTGTCTTTTCATTGAACTGAAATACAGACAAACGGATATGATCGTCAGTTTATCAATGAAAACAACCTTTGAGTCTTCTTATCTCTATAACATTTGGTTATTAATTTGTAAAAATTAATATTCCAGATTATTATGTAGAATGGTTCATCTTTCATAAAAGAGCCAACAACCATTACGCTACACTCTCTACGGTTAGGATGAAGAGATCGCCATGCATCACAAAGCCCATATTCACTCATGTACTGTTTAACTATGTTAGTGGATTGCCATTTGCGCTGAGTCCCAGCTGTACTGAGCCTGTCTGTTAAGGAATTCATCCAAAAATTAAAATCACCACCTATAAGTGGACAGTCCAAGTGTTCGGAGAGTACAGAGAAAAAAATATGAAAGAATGGAGGGTCATCAATATTTGGTGGGCACTGTGATTTACTATCGTGCGATTCTTCAGTTAAACAATGTTGATTATATATTTCTTCATCAAGTTGACGCAGTGATAGCTAGATCTTGTTGTATTGTTGTTGTGTCCCTTTTTTTTTGTTCTTTTGCTTTTTTTGTCTTTTTCTGCAGGTCTAGAAGCAGACTCTTGTTCATTATTGTTTATTTTTGTGGACCCCCCCCCCCCCCACACACACACACACACACACCTTTTGTCTTTTCATTTCTCTTTCACCTCTGACTCCGTGTCTGGTCAGAATTACAAAGCATTCAAAAACAATAACAATAAAATTTTAAGTATCAGGCGTGACATTAAAAGCAGACGCTTTGATGCTCCACCTGAGAGTAAATCTGTAAGGCTTGTTACCAGCATTCAGACATCAATTCTGTTTGCTTCACAGCCAGACAGGACACGGTAAAAAAAATTTTAAATAAATAAAAGAGGTAGAGGTCTAACAAACGTAGGCATTTATCTATTAAACATGACATGAACATCTGACTTTAAAGGGTTAAAATGAGGAAAATGGGATTTGTTTTCCCTCTAACTTTTCATCATACTTCCATGTAAACATGTGGTGGACAGAATAGCACCAGATGGGAACAATTGCACATATTGACACATAATCAGTCACAAAGTCTTTCTCTCATTTGTGGGAAAAGGACTCTGAGCTGTAGCCAATTACTGCAGGAGGAGTTCAGTCTAGACAGTGCTTTAATTCAATAAGGAGATCTTTTGGATTCTAATGAACAGCTAATCAAAAGCCAAATCAACTGCTGTGTGTCTGTTCATTAATGCAACTGCAGCCCACTGATTTGTGTGTACAGCACTTTTAATTTAGGGGAAGTGTAGAAAAGTACCAAAGCTGAAAGGCTGAGTAAAGCAACTCTAACAAAACTTCGTTTTCTCATCTGTAGTCCAGTGGAAACGAACTGACATGAACACGGACTGCTCTTACCCTGGTACTGTGCACCGAAACCTCTCATCCTGTTGTTGCCATCAGATGTGAAGTGAAGACGAAGCCAGTTCTTGCTGCTGATGATGGGTGAGGGAAGGTTGGGTCCAGTAAACCTGCAGACACACAGAGACGAGCACCGCCATTTATATATGAACTAGTTCAAAGTTCATTTGACACAGTTCAAATGAACTGGTTCAGCTCATAGTTACATACCCAGCTGCAGCCTTTAGCCCTAAATTATAATGTCAGTAATACAAATTGAATCTTTAACTGATTCATCCTGCTGAGGACAGCTGCTGCTCACAGCAACAGTCTGTGGAACAACAGTCTCCTGTGGATATTCTGCTGGGATGGTAGAAACTTCCTCATGTCTGGAGATTGGATGGGAGGTTCCTGATGATGACTGTAGGGACAAACCCATGCTCATACAGCATATAGTTTTTATATAATCCATCATGTTTCACATAAAGTCGAGCCCGATGGCTCCAGGCTGGCAGAAGCTGCCACTCCTCGTTTGTGACCAGGACTTAGGAACGTTTAACAGAAGATGTACTACAGAGAGCTGGAATGTTCACAACTCCTAACCAAACTGCAAGTTCAATAAATAAAAGAACCAGCACCGACATCTACAGGAAGATTTTACTGTGTTGGAGGAGCAACAGTGAATTATAAACTCTTAAACTGCTTCTGATCTGTATTCTAATGAGGGCTGTTGCTTACCAGGCACTTCTTCAGTCGTTAAAGGCAAATCCTTTGGGTACACATGGTGTTTTATCTGCATACACAGTTCAAGTGTGCAAACACACTCACAAACCACGGGGTGCACGCTTCTGCAGGCATGTATGAAAGGTGTTACCTCAGCTTCAGCTACTCTAGCTTGCTGACCTACGAGCTTTGAATGGAAACGTTTTATTGGTACAAACAAAAGACAAAACTTGGAGATTTGCTTTGCAATTTAATAACGTTTTGTCCTTGAATAGAATCATAAAGCACAAACATAACCGCTGGCTCACTGTGGTAGCAGACGGGGTATCTGAATCAACAGTTTAACGCAGCCTCTGCTGACAGCTACGGGGTGGATTACCTTTGACCCAGCCCCATTCAGCTGCAGCGCCTTACCACCAGGATGGCATTACAGAACAAAGGTGCAGGAGTCCCACCTCCAGGTGCTGAGTTAAAGGGCTTAAGGGGGAGTTTAGTGGGTGATTGGCTGCACAATTCAAGTCTCTACAGATCAATTAAAACCATGCGGGTTTCTGAATGACTGAAGAATTAGGGCGAGAAAAACAGAACCACTTGTGATAGTTTTACTGGAAATAGACTCAGACACACAACAAAAGGTGACTTTCAGCCTTCTTAGATGATGGTCAGGGTTTCATCCTCCAGCTACAGTGTGCTTTAAGGACCTTGATGTCCACTTAAAGGCCAAGTTCATTTCAACACATCTGCAGTGGTCTCTAGTACAAACGAATGCCTCGTGAGTCCGTCTCAGCTGGTAAAAAGTTCTGGCGCTCCTGTTTCAGGAATTAGAACTCAGCCGTAGGAATGAGTCGCAGGATTCAGGGATTCCTGATATTCAGCCTCTGATTGGCTAGCAGCAACACAACTCCACCGCTGACTGTTTGCTCTGCAATGTTGATGTTTTATCTCCACAAACAACTCCAACCTGGAGGAGTTCTGCTGTGTGGTGTAGATGCTAATGCTAACAGTTAGCTTCTACTAGCAGAGACGTTCTCTGTTGTTTCCTGGAAGCTAAAACCAACAACAGCCTTCCCTGTCGTGAGTTAAGATGGGTGAGTCCATGAGTGTTAAGTGACAGTGTGACGTAGATCTGTCAGGGCCACCTTAACCAGCTGAGGGCCCGGGGCAGAAAGGGTCAGTAGGCCCCCCACGGGTCTCACGTCTGTGTTCTATCACAGCTAATGCAGGAGATGGTGTAGGAGACGCCGACTCAGAGTGACTGATAACATTTAAAAATTACAGGTAAAAAATAGTTAATTGAATTTGGTCTTTAATGCTTAATAATGTAACATAAAGACAATTATAATTTCACTTTTGTATTTGAAGTAATTTTTGGAGGCTGGCTGCTTTAAAATCAGCCAAAAAAAAAAAAAATTAAAAATCAGCTCAGACAGTCGCAGCAGTAGCTTAAACCTCAGAATGTTCCACGTATTAGAGAAAACGTTTAGAGCAAAATGTAAGACAAATGTTATTTTGCACAGCTGTTTAAGAAGTTGACGACAGTAACTTTCAAACCGCAAGAAACTTTTTGCCAGAACCTTTATCTGTTGGAAGTGTGTCCCTCCCTTTTCAGCCACAGAAACCGGGAGCTTCACAGGATTCATAAAAGTAAGTTAAGCTCTGAAAACATCTCCTTTATGGAGGCAGGACTTCTGAAATCACCTAAAAGCTTTGAGGTGGGGTGTCATTTAACATTCCTGAATGTATATGTACTCCCAGAGTTTTGCTTCCACCTTTCGTTTGCTCAGATTCTCTCCACTATAGCTCATAAAATATTAATAGCTGTATTTGTGAACACAGCGTCTAAACTTTGCTTTTAATCCAGCTTCAGAAGGGACAGAGTGCAGCAGGAGATGCAGCAAGGAGCTCCAGATGAACAAGGAGAGAGAGAGAGAGCTCCTGCAGGCAGGAGAAAGGACTGAAAGGGAGCAACAGGAGCTTCCTCTCCTAATTTTTTCATGTTGGTTTTGTTCCAAGCTCCTAAAAATGCCCAAATGGTTCAAACTGCATAACAATAGCTGACTTTGTGTTAGCACCACTAAAGGAAACAGTCATTGTACCAAATAGAAGTATGAAAAAGACTTTCATTTATAATGCAAACTATCCCAAAGCACCACATAGTTCTGTTTGCTTCTGCACCCTTGACTTTGGACCTTCAGCAGAAATGTAAAAGACCTAATACAGCTGAAATAATAATGTAACTCCTTAAAGGAAGAAGACAAGCACCAGCAGTAATTTAGCTCAGGTCACACGATGCTGGACACCCTGCAGCTCCATGATGATGTCTCAGGTAAAACCCTGACCACCTCTATGAAGACGGCTGCATCCAAACACACCATGAAAACTATTTCAAGTAAAAAGTGACCTTCAGAAGGAAACTGGAAGCATGGGGGGTGCTGTAGGTGTCCTGAAGGTAACGAGCTACTGCTGCAGATTCTTCTCACCGTACTCAGGCAGCACGGCCGTATTGTCTTGAGACTTTCGAACTAAATAGGTTTCCATTTCAAGGCCCAAAGCTCCTCTCCTGAGTCTGACATCTTATATCCAAGAACATGTTCTTTAGCCACTACAAGGTGACGGAGGCTCCTTGTGGGTTTCATGGTCAACTCGAGGACCAATCAGTGTGTCACACTGATGTCTAGAGACAACACAGCTATGCAGTGAGTGCACACACAGACTCACATCACTTTGCTTTGGATCTGTTTTGGCGTTCAAATGTGCAAAACATGTATCCCAAACAAGTCATCATCAGACATGAAAGTGCTTTCCAGGGCTGAAGAAAGTAAAATCCTCATGAGGTTTAGAACAAAGGTCACCATGAGCAGGCGGACATTCTGGATGGAATGGGTGCAGAGGTCTGACGTTAACCGAATCTATGCATAATCAGCAGCAGGCAGGGTCAAAGGTCGCCAACGCCACATCAGAATCAAAGTGTGAGAAGAACTTTTCAGAGCATGACTCTATTGTGATCTGATGAACTTGTGAGTGGGTGTTCTGCATGTGTTTGATACAGAGACGCCCAGGCTCTCAGAAAGAAACGCTTCCATTAATTGCTCCCTCTTAGGAAGATCAATCAGAGTTCTGCTCGGCATGCACATCCCGGTGTTACAGCAGACGGGGTCACAGTGACTTTATAGCCAGAACTTTCAGCATTTTAATGAGGTTATGTGAATTATTGCACATGCCAGCTTATCCAGATGGACGCGTAAACACACACACTCACACACGCTCACACACACACACACACATGTGCACGCATGCACGCACAGACACACACACTAACACAAACACACACCCACAGCACACACACACGTGCATGCACCCACCCACCCACCCACCCACACACACCCACCCACCCACACACACACACACACACACACACGCACACACACACACGTGCATGCACCCCCACACACACACACACACACACGTGCATGCACCACCCCTCCCCACACACACACAAACACACACACACAAACACACACACACACACACAAACACGCACGCACACACACACACACACACACACAAACACACACACACACACACACACACACACACACACACACACACACACACACACACACACTGTAGAAGACCCTTAAGTTGAGAACGCTGGTATTAAAACTCTGACAGGAGGGCTGGAGTGTGACCTTTAAACACCACAGGAATCTCAGCAAGTTCACTTTTTTCTAATTAAGTACAACCAGCTTACACGAGAGGTTAGGGCCAACAAGAGGCCTTGAGGGTGTGTGTCTCATGGGTTACCCTGAAATAAAGTTTTGAGTTTCCGATGAGGGAGAAGCCTCTGAGGTAGCAGACCCATCAGAACCAACATGTCTGCTCCTTGGTTCATCACAGCCATTCAGTCTCATCATCTTCCTCTCATGTGTTATTCATGGACAGACCTCTGGCCCCATCACAAAGTGCTGCTAAATCTTCTGAGAGGTTTCTTTATTCCTCTTCCCACAAACACATTCCGGCCTCACAGAACATAGAATATAGACATTGATTGAAAGATGGCTCCTTTTGGGAATGAAAACCTTTTGGGAAGAGCAGTCGTCATCTTTTCTTCCATCCCTGTATTTTGTTGTGTTAAAACCTTCAACCATTTCTTCAAAGACTTCCTGCAAATCTACTGCTGCTGAAGCCGTTTTATCTGTGGACAAGCAGACGCTTGAGGACAACCCACAGGGAGCAGGAATCAGGACTCACCTGGTCAGACACAGGATCAGATACCAACACCAGAACTCTTGAGCTTTTCCTGTTTAATCCTAATAAATCAACCAAAGGATTGGATGGTTTTAGAAGGAACTCATAATTTAGTTTGGTTCCACGTGGCTATGGTTTTACCTTCGTACAGGGCTGATTT